AGAATCAACTAACTTAGGCGTGCGCAGCGTTATAGAACAGTGCTTTGAAAGAATTGTTCTACAGCGCCATCTAGTGGCGAATTACAGAAAAATTGATAGCCTAAAAACCTTCTCTGTGAAAAATTACTTATACATGTCAAGTTTCATCACGATCGGTTCAGCGATGTAGAAGTTTGTCACTTACCAACCAACCAACCAACAAACATATTTTTATATATTAGATTTTGAAGTAGGAAATTGTTAAGGCTAACGAGTCCTTGCATATGAAAATAATTGAAACACAACTGCAAAGTTATAAATTTGCTTATCTGTGATTATCTTCGAGGTAGTGAGATATACATCTAGTCAACTGTGATTGGTTCAAAGTTGTGATTGAGAGTCATTTTGGCTATTCACTCAGCCAGGAACGATCACATAATTAATGCCGTTGTCAAGTCATAGGAGAAAGATATTAACATTTCTTTGAATAAATGCGAGTTAATTCACTGAATGAGCGTGGAAAGATTATAGATTCTTATACCTACAATTTCAGTCTAGAATCTTTGCCTCAAAATAGGCCTCAGTTTCAGCAATAATCCTTCATTCGAGCAAAATTTCTTGGTGATGAGCATTTTTTGAGATCTGCGAACAACCAGTAGACGCTGGGAAGAAGTTCAATTCATGTAGTTTTGCCATTGTTTTGATTGACTTGTGACACTGTGCGTTATCTTGATAAAACAAAATTTTTTCTCTGCCATATGCGGCCGTTTCTTTGCAATTTTGGCCTTCAAACGCTCCAATAACGCTATATAATATTCACTGTTGATGGTATTTCCCTTCTCAAGATAGTCGATATAACCTTTCCATCTGATTGTTGTGCTTTCGGGGGCTTTGGACGAGGTTCACCAGTTGCTCTCCACTCAGATAACAATTGTTGTTATTATTGTTGTTGACAACCCATTGTCATATATCGACGCAAAAACTCTGGTTTGTTATGTTTAAAGATGGCCAAACACTGCTCAAAATCATAGAGACGTTCTTGTTTTTTGTCAACAATGAGCTCGCGCGGAATCTACTTTAAACAGAGCTTTACCATAGTCAAATACTCATGCAATATAAAGCCAACACGTTTTTTTGATATATTCACAATCTTCTCACACAACATCATTCTTCGATCATTCAAAACAATTTTGTAGATTATTAAATGTTTTCTGGTGTTACTGCCTCATTTCGACGTCCACTGCATTCTGCATCATCGGTATGTCTACAACCACGTTTGAAATAAGCAAACCATCGTTTAAACTTGTTTTTTCCCATCAAGAAGCAGTGAAAATCAAAACACGAAATTGTTTTTGATCTATTGTTTTGAAAATAACAAAATTAGTATCACATTCAGCACAGTAACTCACAAACTTATGAGTAGAATATCATGAAATTTCGTGTGTTAGGCCCGAGACTTCAGTCCATGTAAGATCTGATCGCCAACAACATTCTCTTCACATTTCGAAGTAATTGAATAAAACAATTATTATCTGGTACAGTGCGAATGTGAACAGATTTTACAGAAACTATGAAAGAGAACAGGGAAGTATAATGCGAATCAACGCTAGAACTTCGATGCGAATTAATGCTAGTACTTCGATCCGATTTAGTTCCTCACTCTTCATTGCCGGCAAATGTGAGATCACTATCTGTTAGTTACAGCGTGAGAACGTATGCACTGATATGTGTAGGTTTGAGAGATTGGATGTAAAAAAATATGTACATGAGTTGAACAGAGAATGCAAATCGGTTTTGTAACTGATGGTTGCGATTCAATGCTATGTACTCATCTGAAAATATTCGAATTATGTTTGATGTATTGAACGAAAAAACATTTAATTGAAATCTACTGATATTAATTTGTTTTTTGAAGTTTTTTACTTCACTTTCCGTCTCAATATAATAATTTCCGTCAATTTTTAAAAATGATACAGCATGCCAATTCGGTAATTTTCTAATATTTTTATCCAGGGTATATAAGAAATAATAAATGAGCGAGAAGAGGTGGTACAGTACTTCGAAAGACTTTATTCTCTTTTCAAAGGTGATTCGATTCATTATTTTTTTTACCAAAATTTTTCGAAGACTTTATAATATACAGGAATAATTTTTGGCTGAATACGTTGTTGGACAACATGTATGCGGCTTCCTTAAATTTTCTCCTGAACCTATGTTCCTCTCTGTGCAAGATCTCAGCTTGGGACCACTCGATGTTGTGTTGATGGGTCCAAACATGGTCTGCTATTCCTATTTGCTGGTTTCTCCTCGCTGTGTGTGCTCTTTTTTACTTACTTTGTGGGTTATATTTTACAAAAAACAGATTTGTGATGTATACAAAAAAGAAGTCTCTGGTATTGTTTTCCCTCTACCTACTCGGGAAAATCTCGTTTAACCTCTATCGGACTATAGAAAATGTTGAAGTGGATCACTGTGATGCTAAAACTTCAAAAAAATATTCTCTTCCAAACCTAAATTATCTTTTGCTTCAATTAGAGTTCTCGTAAGTTATTGAACGATTGACAAGTTTTGTACAAGAAATAATGGTATCATCTCAGAGGCACCAATTTCCTCATTTACTTTTATTTTTTTCACCTGTTGGGTATACCATTCTCAAAAAATATGAAAATTCTTGAGATATTTCTAGTTGAAATGTTATTCAGAAAAAACAATTAAATCTTTTGTATTACCTGCACTCCATAAGGAAATTTCCACACATATTCTAAACAATTCAATTTGAATTTCTTCATTTGAAACTCATGGTTCATTTGTTATCATATTTCTCATCGAACCACAGTACCAAATCCAAAACATACATCGAGATTCGGATTTTTTCGTGTGCACTTTTCAACCCTATCCATATGAAAATCCTAGTAATTTTTTCCTGGAAGAGATGAATCATCTTCGCAGCATTACTAAGCAGCCCACCAAATCAAACTGAATAACTTATTCAGTACCTATATTAGGTGGCCTGAAAATTTCGTAGGCTAGTACACAGATGGCGCTACTAGTATTAAATCTGTATAATTATTAGTTAACCCTAACCTTCAGAAGACACGTACCTATACAAATTTTACAACTATCGAATTATTAGTTTGTGAGTTCATTTTGAGTGAAACAACTTTTGTTAGTGTGGAGAAAATGGATAAAAATTAATCTCTCATATAAGTAAAGCATTAATTTTTGGCGAAAAAAATACTATTGAAGACAAGGATTGGCTTAGTAAACATTATTCGGACTTTGCACTAGAAAAATCAATAGTTGAGAAGTGGTTTGCCAAGTTTAAATGAATTGAAATCAGCACCGAGGACGATGGAAGCCCCAAAGAGGCTGTTACCGATAAAAACATCAAAAAAGTCAACAAAATAATTTCGAATGGCCTCAAAGTGACAATTGAGGCTCAAAAGATAACAAAGGAACATTTTGGACATATCGTACATGGATACTGTACTGTTCGAAGTGGGTGATGCGCAAGCTGACCATCGACGAAAAACAATAACGAATTGATGATTCTGAGCAGTGTTTGAAGTTGTTCCACTATAAAAAACCCAAATTTATGCGTCGATTTCACACCAGAATGAAAATGATTTTCATCTGAGTGGACTCCACGTGGTGGACTGACTCCAAACGTGCAAAGACGCAACAATCAGCTGGCAAGGTTTTGGTATCAGTATTTTGGGATGCGCATTGTATAATATACATCAGCAGCGAGTATTACATAGCGTTATCGTAGCGTTTGAAGGTTCAAATCGAGGAAAAAACGACAACATTTGAAGAAAAAGAAAGTGGTGTTCCATCAAGGCAATGCACCGTTTCACAAATCAATGAAAACGATGGCAAAATTGTACGAATTGGACCTGAAATTGCTTCCGCATCCACCTTATTCTCCAGATCTGGCCCCTAGCGACTCTTTCCTGTTCTAAGACCTAAAGAACAACTTGACCAATATTTTTTTTATATTCCATAGAACAAAACCACCAATAGATTGTGCCACTAATGTCTTGCTTGCGTTTATGCAGTTATTTTTATCAAGTACATTTCTCCATTTCATATAGGAACCATTCGAATTCGTTTTCCGATGGCATCCTAGGATAGGTTTCCAAATTTCTGCTACCGCAGTTGTCGGTTGATTGGTCAAACCACCAACACTAACAAAAAAACTTGGCAAATTGACTTGGATGTCTCACCACTAGGTGGTTCCACTAATGTCTGCTTGCGTCTATGCAGTTATTTTTATCAAGTACTTTTCGTGATTATTCACATTTTGTGTTCAATTGCCCGGTACTGACGATGCCCAACAGGCTGAAACAGCTGTCTACTGGTCGGATTTTTCACAAATTTCTGATTCAATTAAACATCAAACTCAGCGGTTGAAAATACATCTTTGCTGATTTCGGAATATAGCAAATTCTTGGTTTCTTCGCAACAGAACCAATTCTTATTCAATTCATAATTTGTTTAAAAGTAACGGGAATTTTACTAGTAGCTTCTTTGTATTTCTGCAAACAATTTGTTGAGAATGAAAGTTCAGGTATAGTAATTCGGGTGTTCTATTTTTTATGATTTCTCCACCGAGATGTATTTTTTTAGTGGAAACTTCATATTATATTTCAAATTATACAGAACATCGAAACCTAATAGTTCTTTGAGATACATGAAATGAAGAAAAAACAACAGATTACTCAAATGATAGGTAGTATTTCTAGGGATCCATGAAACCAAATGAAAATTATGATAAACGTCAGATAATATCCTGATTCAATTTTATCCTTACTTTCAAGTAATCTGATGTGGTTTCTCATCGAATTTGAGACAATTGAATTCACGGAAAAAGCTTTCATCGTGTTATCTGTTAGTGAGAATTTTCATCCACTCCTGTAATAAATATATCCGTTTTAATTTTTGAATTCGAACAGAATTCTCAATTATCAAGAAATAACATCAATTTTGGAATGAAACGCATGTTCTCCAATTATTTTCAGAAATGCTCCATCAGGGAGAGTTATCTTCTTCGATGGAATCACTGTCTTACGATTCTTCAGTTACATCACCCGCCTCCAGTAATGGACATCACAGTCAGAGGACGAAACGAATGAGAACATCATTCAAGCATCATCAGCTGAGAACTATGAAAACTTATTTCGCTATCAATCAAAACCCTGATGCCAAGGACCTCAAGCAATTAGCTCAAAAAACTGGATTGTCTAAAAGAGTCTTGCAGGTAGATATAAAAAGTTTTTTTTTTCATAGTGTTGCCACATTTCATATTGATAATGATTGACATTTAGCATATCTTTAGAGGCGTGACAAATATTGATTGTTAGCTTAGTTTTCCACTCAATAAGTAAGTTTTCAACAATCCGAATTCAACCATTTCTGATAATCGCTTTATAAGAAGGAGACAAAGCTACTGAATCGTTACATATAAATGTTCGGAATTTATGAAGACAAACTTCGACATCGATAAAATGATAACTCACTTTCTTTCTCCTTGTAGCATCAATTTCATGCAGACATCTATTCGTAGCAATTCATGCATAAACTAGACTAGACTAGATAGCATCCTCTCTATATTCCATAAATTTCTTCAGTGATACTTCACTAGGCCAAGAATGCAACGTTTAAACTTGTCTAAATGTAACGTTTGAATTTGGCTATCTTCGATAACAATAATTTCGAATGACAGTAGATGATGACACTTCTCTCAAATAAGACATCTATGGAAGCAACAAAAAATACAAACACTTTCTGGAAACATACTTTTTTCTAGTAATGATCGATATTTCTATTCAATAAATGATTCCAAATAATCTCAATTTATTTCAATTCGCCATCATTAGTTTCGGTGACTTAAATAAGTTCAAGTTCGCCAATTTGAACTAACATTACTAACACGTTTCAATTTTTCTCTTTTTGCATCAACAATGTCTGAACAATCACTGTGATATTACGTAAGAACGACTCTAGCTGTTTGCTGATCTGAAATAATTATTCATTGTGAAATATGTTATAAGGATTGATGGGATAGCCCATAAGTAGAAACTTTTGTGGAGCACCTCGCGAATCATGTCTTGGTTTACACCTTCACCACAATGTCACTTCACCTTGAAAAAAACCCTCACTAAAAACTGAAAAATGTTGAAACTTTTATGTTTGTTCACAGTTCTGCCATCCAAATTATCTTTAAATTTTTTCGTGTTTTTTCTCCATAAATATTTCGTTTCTTAACGTTTCTTAAAGAAAACTTCATGTAGCAATGCCATAAGAGCCAGACAGTATGAGACCGTAGACAGCGAGTGGTTTTATCTAGGTATTTAGTTGCTGAAATGGCATTGCTTGAAAAAAATTCAATAAAAAAATTGACATTTGCTAAGAAAATTTTTAGATCGAGTGGTGTTAGCAAAGATTATCTCCTGAAATATTCTCAGCTGAATGCATCGAAATAAGAACAAAATATCAATTCTCAAATTAATCAACTTCATAACCTAAATAACGAGAAATTTCAACAAAAATATTTATTTGAAAGTACAATCATTAAAGACAATATTTGAATATATGAACTGTGTACACGAAACTCATATTTTTCAATAATGAGATTTCATTGTTAACATATATCGTGCCTCGACATGGAATTGCACAGTCGGCACGTGACTTACTAGACGCGGCTATATGCATGATTTGTGTCAGTAGAGTCTAATCACTGGTCTAATCACTGTCATAATCATAATATCGAATTAAACCTGTGAATTTCTGTATACGAACTTCAAATATTCAGTCACAATCAGATTTGAATATTTGATTCCATTGGTTAAATTTGAATACGACAGTGACAATGATCGAAATTTTGAATATTATGTACAACTAGGACCGGTGAATCACGTATGATTTAAGAATAATAATACCGATATGTTAAAATCATGGCTCTAAGTTTCATTGCTGGTGTGAAAAAGCGACTCATTGCTGTAAAATTGTGTTGTGGTGGCTTATAGCTTTCAATTTTTTCATCATTCCATCGGTTTGAAGAAAATCATTGATGAAAAATTGGTTGATATTGTCGAGATATTTTCATTACTGTACTGCAACTCATCTTCTTTGATTCCTGAATTGTAAATTTTTTATCAGTGGTTATTAGTTATTTTTTAATCACCCGTGAGCATTTGAGCCGTGAATATTTTATATTAGTAATAATAAAAATATGCTTAAATAGTTTTACATAAAATATTTCAAGGAGTCATATGGTACATAATCAAGTATGTTCAGAGGGATTCATAGGTTTTTTTAATATTTTCACATTTTGAAAGAAGCATAAGTTTCAAAAAATATGAACAATGTAGAAACAATTCAAGTCTCATTTAGTATATCATTATTCGTGATATTTTTGGAAATAAAGGTCTCTTTTGAATTTGTTATTATGGCCAAATTGTGAATAGATTCTTTCGGAAAATTCGGAAATTTCCTATAATGGCTCTTTCAACCCTCAAATGTCCAAACAAAGGCAAACTGGTGATTCACGAGGTCTTAGTTTTCAAAGTTTGATTGCTAGAATCTAAAACAGAGAATACGTCTATATAAATATGTCAAATAGAAACTGGTTACTCTAAATCTTCTCTTGTTACAGGTGTGGTTCCAAAACGCTCGAGCTAAATGGAGGAGGAACTTAATGAGGCAAGAGGGATCCAATAATAATAATATTCCTCACCAGGGATCTAATGACGCACAATCGGCTGTATCTGGAATAATAGATACAAACAGTTTATCACATCAGTCACTAGATGACCTTCACCACCATTTGCACTCGCAGAACTCACAAACTCTAAATTTTAGTGATATATACTAATTTTGAATAAGGTTTTCAAGTTACATTGAAATTGAAGTTGCTGAGTAATCTGTCCGATGAAACTTTCCAATTAACAGAATTTTCTGAACATTTCTCTGGAAAATACAACACGAAACTTTGCTTCATTGCTCATCTACTTGTTTCATCAGTAATACATTAAAATCCAATATGTTCCTTTGTTATGGTGATAAACATATGTAAGTGCGAAAAATAATTGTTGAATTAATTTATAGGTGATATATATCAATATTGAACAATTTGTTTTTGTATATAGATAATTCAAATACACCAACTATAACTGTCTTAACTCATTGAATATTGGGATACTTTGTGAAAGATAATTTATGTCATCAGTTTTTAATATTTATTATGTTCGTTGAATAATTTTATAGCAGTTCGTTTGGGATTGTTATCAGAGCATTTGTGTGGAATAATATATTTATTTCATTGAAAATATTCATTTGAATGTTTTTTATACCCCTCAATTACTTATGTGACTACTTACCCCAGACACTGTGACAACCATCCCCGGCCCGGGGTTAAAAGTCACACTTTTTCTTTTCCATAAGATTCCATATTTCCTCTGTGGATGATGTCGGAAAGAAAGAGAATATTTTATTTTCAAATGAGTATAAAAACACTATTAATAAGAAAACATCATTGATAACAACGAATGTTGTTGTCGAAACAACGAATGTTTCGAAGGAAGAACCACCGGACAGGACTTTCGAAACAAGGAACGTTTCGAGAGGCGCGGTGAAGGACAGCGTTTCCAAAGCAAAGAAGGCTTTGGAGATGCTGCCAATACGGAACTAAGCGACGAAGCAAAGGTCGTCCAACGCCAGGCGTCGCGATGCCCCCAGGGGGGAGCATTTAGCGATCCCTGGGAGGAGAAGGGTGCGTTGCGCACAGGAGCGCCTCGTTCCCTGTTCGAGCCGAATACTGACGACCTAGCGGAAGCGCTAGGGGGTGGAGGAATGCCAGGGAGTCACCCTGAAGCCGAGAGAGGCTTGGGGGTGGCCTCATGGCGGGGTCAGTACCTCCACAAGGAGTTTCAAATTCCAAAAGAGCTAACTGGAGCAAACCAACCTCCCGTCGTACCCAGACAGGAACTGAGTCCCAAAATCCCTGGGGCTCAGGTCTGGGAGGCCAGCCGGCCGTTACGGCGAACGGTA